TAGATAGATAGATAGATAGATAGATAGATAGAAAGAAATAGTCAGATGATAGAAAGAAAGAAAGAAATAGTCAGACATATAGATATAGATAGATAGATAGACAGATAGACAGACAGACAGATACAGTAGATGCGATTTCTTTTAGAAATATAAATCACTCTTTGCAGCCTTTGCTGTATCTTCAAAGTTAATATCATTAATATATATAGAAAGGTAGTAGAATATAACTGTACGAACAGGAGCTCTAAAACTGACAGTACAAAGGGTGAAGACGAAGGCAGTTGTGAACTCATTTACATATCATTTGAAGTCTGTAGCCATTTGCTGTGGAAGGTAGCTTCTAACACCAAAGTACAATAAAACAGTGACAGGCACATGTGAATCTTTATCTGTGTGGCCTTTCATACTACAATCCTCTGGCCAGACAAACACATGACTGGCTTTTGGTAGGTCGTTTGCTGTATAAATAACAGGGAGTGTACTGTCAGAGTGATGTCTAACTGAGTCATCCCCAGGTCCACTCTTGTCCCATCATATCCCCATCATTAAGACTGGTTGCCCGGGCAGATAATAATGTGATGCGTGATCCTTATTTGAATTGCACCCATGAGCTAACAGTGACGCCAATGAAATTAGTTACACTGCATTAAAAAGTCCACGGATGCAATAGCATCAAAATGACTGAAATTAATGGGAACTAATTTCTAATGTTATTATCATTAATGTTATTGCATTGGACTAAAACTTACTGACTTTGCTCAAACAGAGTATAAAAACTTTTGTGTTATTAAAAAGTGATAATAACATTTTAGGATTGTTTTCCTACCTTGTTACACTTGCAGGTAAAAATGACCGGCCTACAAATAAATGCTTATAAATTTCTTGCTATTACCAAATATCGATTTCAATCTTTTTTATCAACTTGTTTTCTTTCACTTACCACAGGTTTTCTATTTCTTTTTGGACCTGATTGATCATTGACCTCATTGATCTGAGCTTATGTACCTCAGTTTTTGAGTGAACATTGCCAAAATCATCCACAAATAATTGTTTTTTCTTACAAGTTGACAAAAAGATTGAATCCAAGATTTGGTAATAATACAGCATAATTAGTGATTTTTAAAAGGCTGGTAATTTTTGGCCAAGAACATCAAATTAGGTAAAGCGTTTTCAGCACATCACAAGGGCTAAAATAATTTAAACTAATTAAACCTGTTTTTTTTTTCCTGTTACAGCAATCCTACATTTACATGATTACAGTCATCATTGTCATCAAATATATATGCAGTTGTAATTTAATTTTAATATATTTAATTTCAAATACAATTTCCCCCTGCACAATAGCCGCGTTTGGGGTTTGATCATACAAAACAGCGATAAACAGGTTAGCTAAGGCTGTACCAAAGCTATGCTCTTCTGCCATGGCTGCTCACTACTTAGCCTTTATATTTATTCAGTCATTTGATCTACTTAAGGGCATAAATGTCGCTTTAACAGTCATGTTTGCGAAATATGAACATGGAAATGATATACGATACCTCCATGAATAGCCTGTCGTTTTTGTGGTACTAGGTAACGCGTGACGTCAAGAGACTTTATGACGGGCTCAACGTAAGTGTATTAAATCCTACCCCTTTGCTCGATGGTAAAATGGGCCAATGGGCTTGAAGAACGTCAGGAGTAGGACCCGCCTCTCGCTCAAGCCTGACCAATCATATTTCGTGGATTCGATGTTCGTTTTGTTGTGACCTTTGGAAGCACATCACCGCCCACCGCGTGTCCGTGGCGGAGGAAAACTATAAATAGAGGCGGATGACAGCAGTAGAGGACGAAATTGTAAAACACTCAGATAGAGGGGGTGGAGAGGAGCTTATTGGGAAGGTGAAACACCAAATACCTCACAGATAACTGGGGGCAAGATAAGAAGAAGAAAAACAAAAAATAAAACATTTATACCAACTGGAATACCTTTATGTTAATGTGAAGAAAGTCCTTATATCTGAATTTTTCTATTTGCACTAGTCAAGGCTACTGCAACTACTGAAAACCGTCGTTTTGTAAACTCAAGTAAGTGTTTAATTTCTTTGTATGGCATTGCTATTTTTGTGATTTGTCCAATTCGTAAAGTAGGCTATTACTCGTTGTATTAGGGTTATTGCAGAGCGTTGTCTGTAATAGTTTACTGAAACCTTAAGAGAATTTAAATGAAGGCAGCTTTACAAGTTGACAAAAAGATTGAATCCAAGATTTGGTAATAATACAGCATAATTAGTGATTTTTAAAAGGCTGGTAATTTTTGGCCAAGAACATCAAATTAGGTAAAGCGTTTTCAGCACATCACAAGGGCTAAAATAATTTAAACTAATTAAACCTGTTTTTTTTTTCCTGTTACAGCAATCCTACATTTACATGATTACAGTCATCATTGTCATCAAATATATATGCAGTTGTAATTTAATTTTAATATATTTAATTTCAAATACAATTTCCCCCTGCACAATAGCCGCGTTTGGGGTTTGATCATACAAAACAGCGATAAACAGGTTAGCTAAGGCTGTACCAAAGCTATGCTCTTCTGCCATGGCTGCTCACTACTTAGCCTTTATATTTATTCAGTCATTTGATCTACTTAAGGGCATAAATGTCGCTTTAACAGTCATGTTTGCGAAATATGAACATGGAAATGATATACGATACCTCCATGAATAGCCTGTCGTTTTTGTGGTACTAGGTAACGCGTGACGTCAAGAGACTTTATGACGGGCTCAACGTAAGTGTATTAAATCCTACCCCTTTGCTCGATGGTAAAATGGGCCAATGGGCTTGAAGAACGTCAGGAGTAGGACCCGCCTCTCGCTCAAGCCTGACCAATCATATTTCGTGGATTCGATGTTCGTTTTGTTGTGACCTTTGGAAGCACATCACCGCCCACCGCGTGTCCGTGGCGGAGGAAAACTATAAATAGAGGCGGATGACAGCAGTAGAGGACGAAATTGTAAAACACTCAGATAGAGGGGGTGGAGAGGAGCTTATTGGGAAGGTGAAACACCAAATACCTCACAGATAACTGGGGGCAAGATAAGAAGAAGAAAAACAAAAAATAAAACATTTATACCAACTGGAATACCTTTATGTTAATGTGAAGAAAGTCCTTATATCTGAATTTTTCTATTTGCACTAGTCAAGGCTACTGCAACTACTGAAAACCGTCGTTTTGTAAACTCAAGTAAGTGTTTAATTTCTTTGTATGGCATTGCTATTTTTGTGATTTGTCCAATTCGTAAAGTAGGCTATTACTCGTTGTATTAGGGTTATTGCAGAGCGTTGTCTGTAATAGTTTACTGAAACCTTAAGAGAATTTAAATGAAGGCAGCTTGCTGCGTCAGTCGTGGGCTAGACTTTAGGAGCTCGGAGGGATCGCCAAATATGGCAAAATACCTTCTTGCACCAGAAGCCAAACAGTAGTTACATAGAAGTGCAAATGATCAAATGCCATAGAAGGCTAGATTTTAGAATTTGTCAGCACATCCTGGTCGAATTGCACAGAATAGCCACATCATTTACCGCTCTCTTGTCTTAAATGTATACCTTTATACGGTGCATTTCATACACGCATTAGTAATATAACATATATGTATCTGTTTTTAAACTGTACATTGTGTCCTCCTCGCGTTCGCTTTAATCTTCCCTGTGAACTGGGTGGGAGCGACGATACGATCTCTGACGTCCTATACTCGCTTTAAATGTACAAACCAAACACAGTCTGCTTTTATATTTGCTAACCAAGGCGTAAAGCGAACCATTTATCAGTTTGGGTTAACATTCAAGCGCATTTTTATTTCTATTCGCTCCATCGACGACCGTACGCCGATATGTGCGTGCGCTGACTGCTTTTCATTTCTCCTCGTGACACATTCAGGTTTAATTATTAAAGTCTCGCATTCTTGTGTCCGATGTCCTCACCAAACTCTCTATTTTACAGACTTGGGCTACATGACGAGCTCAAGAGAAAGTTTGATTATGGCGACAGCAGTAGATTGGTTACAGTTGTGCAGGGTCTAGTCAGGGTAAGTTAGTTATTACGTAACTCTATCAGCTCCGCGAGTCCCAGTGCATCCTTCCTATAATGGTAAACTGCAATTATAGGACTAGTTTAGTGCTAATATATGCTCGACACAAGCTGTCGTCTTGAATTAAACTAGAGTGGAAGTACCATTCAGGCAGTACACTGAAGTTTAGGATTGTTTGTGTGCTTGTGTAAAATCTAATCTGCTCGCAAGCCTACCCTTATGAAAATTAGTAAAATTCTAGTAATAACCATGTTTTTTTTTGGCGTATTGACTACCATTTGTATAACCACAGTTTTACTACAAATACCATGGTTAAACTATGGTTAGTGTTGCAAAACCACAGTTGATTTGTGGTTACCATGGTTTAACTAGCATATAGTAACAATGGTTTTATTGGTTTTATTTGTAGTAAAACTATGGTTAATTTTCGCAAGCCTACGAATGTGCAAGCTGTTTTATCAAAACATCCATGCTTCTCTAAGGAACTCTCTATTAAGAAACCTGACAGACGGTACCATGTTCCAGTGTATTATTTCCAGCTGAGAATAATGAGCTGGAGTTATTCACGCTATGCCTTGCCCTCTGGTGGCTTACAACACTATACACGAATTCAAACAGCCAACGGTGGTGATACTCCAGGGCAGCGCAGCAGCTATGCAGCTTGAAATCCAAGTAGCACTCAACTTCATCATTTCGTACTTGTACAATAAGCTGCCCAGGCGACGTGTCAACATTTTCGGCGAGGAGTTGGAGCGACAGCTGAAACAGAAATACAAGGGACATTGGTACCCGGACAAGCCATACAAAGGGTCTGGATTCAGGTGTATACATGTCGGGGAGAAAGTGGACCCAGTTGTAGAGCAAGCAGCCAAAGAAAGTGGGTTGGACATTGAGGATGTCCGCAACAACCTGCCTCAGGACCTCAGTGTCTGGATTGATCCTTTCGAGGTGTCTTATCAGATTGGGGAGAAGGGACCCGTCAAGGTGCTCTATGTGGACGACAGTAATGAGAATGGGCTGGAGTTGGACAAGGAGATCAAGAACAGCTTTAACCCAGAGGCCCAGGTCTTCATGCCCATTAGCGAACCCCTAGGCATGTCCCCCACCTCCAGTTCCCCGTCCCCACCGTTTGGCCAGTCGGCAGCGGTCAGCCCCACCTTCATGCACCGTTCCACGCAACCTTTAACCTTTACCACTGCCAGCTTCGCCGCCACCAAATTTGGCTCCACGAAAATGAAAAGCAATGGGCGGAACGCCAACAAGGTGACCCGAAACTCCCCCACCAACCTGGGCCTGAATGTAAACAACCTCCTCAAGCAGAAAGCCATGTCCACATCCATGCATTCTCTCTACGGCGTCGGCTTGGGCGGTCAGCCACAGAAGCCCTCTGCCCTGTCTCCCAACGCCAAGGAGTTTGTGTTCCCCAATCTCCAGGGGCAGGGCAGCCCAAGTGCAATGTTCCCCGGGGAAACGTCCCTCAATCTCAGCCCTCTCCCGTACAATAATGCCTTTGACGTGTTTGCAACCTATGGGGGCCTTAATGAGAAGTCCCTCATGGACAGCCTGAGTTTCAGCTTGAGCAACATGCAGTATTCTAACCAGCAATTCCAGCCAGTGATGGCCAACTAGAAAGCGAGAATACTACTAACGACCAGAGATATGTGATGGGACGGTGGAAAGTTCACGTTTGGAAAATCCCCAAAAAATGGAAAAAACAAAAAGAAAATCGCAAAGCAACACTTCAACTGTAAAGTCAAACGATGAGCCCGAGGGTGAACCATGTTGTTCCCTTGAGTATTTTTGTCATTCTTTTTACGATTAAGCTTGTTGTACAATCAAGCTTAGTTAGCTAAACTCATATTGTTTTTTTTAAGTTGTTTTCTTTTGCCAACCAAGCACAAAATTATTTTTACTGACTGTTTTAAGATATCTTTATGAAGAAGAAAACTACAAATCAAGGCCTCTAATAGTATTCAAGGTATAGCTACACAGCCAATTTTCAGAGGATTGGCCTGAATGCTGAATGAGGGATTTCTTGGTCTTTTTTCTAACTGTGTAATTAATTTAGTAGAAAGTTTGTAAAATATCAGAGTATATATTGTTTCTATGACATATTGCATTTATATCTTTTTACTACTCCAGTGATCTGTGATGGCTGCAGCAGCTTTTGTTATATTTTTTTTTATTGAAATTGTAAAATGAAATCCATCTTTAAAAACATCAGCTATTCTAAAGACTGTGTACAGAATATTCCATTGTGTTGGGATCTAAAAATATTTGCTTTTAGGGGGGGGAAAAAGAGAAAAAAAATAAGAGTTGTATTTTCTGTTAAGAGTTCAAAGATTTTTGCTATACTATGGACAAAATGTAATCGTATATTAATTTTGTACCAACATTGTGCAATACTTGACAAAAACAAATAGTATAACAAAGTATTTGGAGTCAGTGTCTTACATGTAAAGAGGGACTGATAGTTTATTAAGTTTGTATTAAAATGCTTGAAATGATACTCTTGGTC